TATTGTGAGAATTAAGAACTCTGTATTTAATGCATATAGCACATGTTAGGCATTGAATACCAGTAGTGTGCACTGCACACTGTTTTTACTATTGAACAATGGCAAGAATGGAAACTGTCTTCTTCTTTCCCCTTTCTGGAGAAAACCTTTTAAGTTTTGACTTGGTTCACAAGGAGGTACAACACAGCCTGTTGAAATCTCTCTGTGTAAAGGAGACTTTTATCCTGTTGTCCTGGCTGAATCCTAGGGCCTAGGAGAAACAGTAAGAGTACAATTGAGAAAATGCTCAAACTTCCCCTGTTCTTTATTTTAGCTTTAAAGGGTGTGTTATTTTTTCTTTTTAATAAATTATAGAAGTTGTACTTTTTATTTTTAGAAGCTTTGAGAATTCCATTAGCATATAGAAAAAAGAACAAAATAAAATTGAGGTTCTTTCAATCTAAGTCATTCCAGTATTTTCAAACTTTTTCAAAGTTAGAAACACAGAGCATATTCTGTTTAGCCAGAGTTTTTCACTTATCAGGAAATCAACAACATATGACATCATGATTATTTTCTAGCTGAGAGACAGAAACATATATTGGGGGGAGAAGGGAGGGAGGGAGGGAGAGAGAGAGAGTGTGTGTGCTCCAACCTCTACCTGCCAGTCCCCTGCCCAAATGCATGCAACATCTGGGACTGGCTGAGCTGAAGCTGGAATCCAGACACTCAATCCAAGTACCTCTATGGGTAGCAGGAACCCCATCAGTTATGGCATCACCACTGCTTTCCAGGGTATGCATTAGAAAAAAGCCAGAGTCAGGAACTAGAGCAGTGAGTCAAACCCAGATACTCATATATGTAATGTGGGCATCTTAACTGGTGTCCAAACACTAGGCTAAACATTCACTTCTGTGATTTTTAATGGCTGCATGAAATTCCTTTCAATGACTGTACTGTGATTTAGTTGACCTACTGTTATTGGAAATACTGACAATTGTGAATTTTTTGCTATTGTAAATACTGTTATTGGTTTGACTTTTTTCATGGTGAGTCTTCACTGTAGCTCTGTTATTATTTTAGGATTAATCTATTGGAATACAATTCATGGTGAAAGAGGTTTAACAATCTTAGGATGCTCTATATTCACTGATATATTTCTATACAGAAAGAACATATAAACTTATGCTGTGTGAGCACATACAAAATGATCTGTTCCCTTCTTAATCACTAACATTGAACATGTTGGGCTGGAAAATTGTGACCATCGTAAGGGTCATGGCTCAAATTTCCATAAGAAAAGGCAGGTTATGAAGAGCAAAGGTTAACAAATTTATTTAATCAAAGTTTAGTTTTACATGACATGGACAGATCAGAAATAAAGACCCAAAGACTCAGTTTGATGAAGAATGGACAACCATGGAATGTGATAGGACAAAATGTTGTCATGCAACAGTAGTAGACTGAGAAGGGAAACCCAGGATCTGTGGGTCCAGATAGATTCTTCTTGGCTTCTCTGTGTAGTTTTACTTCCTCCTGCACAGAGAAACCAAGAAGAATGGCTGCAATCAGAGAGAGGGCCAGTAATACTCAATGTTCCTTTAAAGTTCAGAAATTCCATGTTTGTCTTTATCCAGTTCTCTTCTCAGAACACAAATCCCAACTTTTAAGTCTCAGGTCCTAAACCATGCACTGCATAGTGCCCCAGATGGCCACCAATCCCCTACTCCTCTACCCCTTGCAACTATTCCCCATCAAGGTGTTTGTGATCCCACAGGTTTCACTTTCCTGTTCTCCATGCTGTAACACTGTGTTCTTTTAGAACTGTTTATCTCTGGGACACTTGGGAGAAAAGCAATCTGATAGAATTGGCACTCCACAATTTGGAATCATTAACAGCAGTTCCACCCATCCCTTTAAATAGTCTTCCTCAGAACCAAACTGAGGAGAATCTCCAGGGATGTTATGTTAGCTCTATTAGCAGAATGAAGTGGAAGAGAGTGTCCCAGGTGGAAAGAAACATTTGTAGAGAAGACTATGCCACTTTATTTGCCATAAAGTTTATTCTGGGGTCAACTCCCTTAAAATAGTGGTGTTGTTCCTAGCTTTTTTTCTTTCTCTTTTGAAAATCCCTAATGGAGTAGTTCTCAACCCCGGCTGAACAACTCAATCTCTGGGGATCTTGGAACCTTCCAAGGACTGGAGCCGCTCCTGGAAGTCTGACTTAATGAACCTGGCATGGGTACTATTAGAAGCTCGCAACATGAAATGTGTTCTAAAATTAGTCCTCTGAAGAGCTAAGATTTGCCCTCAGGTTGCCCTGGTGGACAGGAGCCCATGTAGGAAATGGCCAAATCAAAATGGAAAGCAAAGATCAAAAAGATAAAAAAGAAGGAAATAACCAAGCAACCAACCAAGCCCTCAATAAGTGACAACAGTAAAGACAGTGAGGAATGGATGGTGATGTGCCCTCAGAATCAAAGACATCCACTGATGCTGTGAGTTCTTTTCCTAGGCTAGTTTAATTCCTAAAAATGGATAAATGAGAGACCAGTGCTGAGGCATAGACAGTAAAGCCACCACCTGCAGTGCGGGCATTCCCATATGGGTGCCTCATCGTGTCCTGGCTGCTCCACTTCCAATCCAGCTCCCTGCTAATTTGCCTGGGAAACCAGCAGAAGATGGCCCAAGACCTTGGCCCCCTGCATGCACGTGGGAGACCTGAAGAAAGTCCTGGCTCCTGGCTATAGGCGGCTCAGCTCCTGCCATTGCGGCCACTTGAGTAGTGAACCAGTGGATGGAAAATCTGTCTGTCTCTGTAACTCTGCCTTTCAAATAAATAAATACATATTTTTTAAAAATGACTAAATGAGAGATTTCTAATTAGAGGCTACATTCCCTGTACTGTCTTCCTTGATGTACTCAGGCAGCTAGCAGGGCCCTTGGCCCTTAGGGACTCATTTGTTCCTTTGGCTGAGCTAGTTACTGATTCCCATCCAGCCCTAAGATTCTATAGTTTAGCTGTGTCCAATCTTATTTGGTATGCAGATTTATTCAAATGAGCATGCAAACGAAGTAAAGAGAAAAGACCTACAACTGGCTGTGCTCCTGAAAGAAGTCAAATGTCCACTACTAGGAAACAAAAGAACCTCTAACCCATTGGCAGAATTCCTGTAGCCTGGACCCAAACCCTGCCTTGTCTGCAGACTGCTGATCTTAGGAAAGGGTGTGTTTTCCAGGCTGAGACGCCTCTGGATGCTGCCTGCCAGCCTCAGCAGATGTTCAGGGCTGCAGTGGAGACAGACAACAAGGAGCACCCCTGCATCTGGGTTGCTCCGAGCAGATGGGGGGCATTTGTGCCAGTGTCAGTGCAGCTGGGCCCCATGCCTGCTGCTTTATCCCCCTGGGCAGCTTCTCCAGCTGTCTGGGAGCTCAGGAGCAGAAGCTCTGCACTTGCCCCTGTGAGACCCCTCAGGCCTGTGCTCTGCTTGTTGGCACCTTCTTGCCGGCTGGCTGCTTCGGGACTGCTCCTTCAGACTCCATGTTACCTCCACAAATAGCACTTAATCTATCCCTCGCTGTCCATTTCCATGGCTGCTGCTTTAACAGAGAGCCTGTTGTCCTGTCTCCTGGGGCTTCTGCAAACAATGGGTCCCATCAACTCTGCCCCCAGCCTGGAGTCCTCCAAGCTCCTGCCATCTGCTCTGTGGCCAGAGGATTCTTTGAATGTGCCCCTCCAGCCAGATCATTTTGTGCCAAAGATCCCTCATGAACTCCCACGTCCTAAAACAGTGATTGTTATCCCTAGCTGCATGTTAGAAACACACAGCGTGCTTTCTGAAAATGCAGACACCTAAGACTACCTTCCCAGAGACTCTGTTGGAATGAGTTTGGGTAAAACATTTCCAGAATCATTTGTTTAAGGATATTGGTGAAGCCTCTCCTTAGGCTGGCATTGACAGCTCTTGCTGCTCATTCTCAAATTTTGGACCTCCAAGTAGGTTACCTGTCTACTGCGATTATTGTCTGATATGTTGCAAATTCTTGATCATGTCCAAAACATTCCCCATATAAAACATTCTTGGACTTCTCACATGGAGTTAGCTAATCAGCCTGCTCATGTGAGACTGCTTTGCATCTAGAACTGCAAGAGACCGTTGGTATGACTTTGAGTTTGTTTTGGCATTTTCTTCTGCATTTGTCCATCAGTAGACGATTTAATATAGGACATGACTTTCAATAAGTACTGTCATTATGACATGGCTTTTGTTGTGGTTTGTATATATATATATATTATATATAAAATTTTGTTTTGCCCTTTTGTGTTTAAACCAAACATATTAAAAGTGGGTTATCTATTTTAAAAATCAGAAAGAGGGCCAGCGCCGCGGCTTACTGGGCTAATCCTCCGCCTTGTGGTGCCGGCACCCTGGGTTCTAGTCCCGGTCGGGGCACCAGATTCTGGCCCGGTTGTCCCTCTTCCAGGCCAGCTCTCTGCTGTGGCCAGGGAGTGCAGTGGAGGATGGCCCAGGTGCTTGGGCCCTGCACCCCATGGGAGACCAGGATAAGCACCTGGCTCCTGCTATCGGATCGGTGCGGTGTGCCGGCCGCAGTGCGCTGGCCGTGGCAGCCATAGGAGGGTGAACCAGCGGCAAAGGAAGACCTTTCTCTCTGTCTCTCTCTCTCTCACTGTCCACTCTGCCTGTCAAAAAATAAAAAAAAAAAATCAGAAAGAGAAAGGAAGGTAGGAATGGGAGAAGGAAGAAGGAAGAAAGGGAGGAAAGAAGAAAGGAAGGAAGGAAGAGAAAAAGGAGAATGACAGAAAAGGAAAAGTAGAATAGAATTATAAGAAGAGGAAGAAAGATGATGCTTGATAAGCATTGATTTGGTTTGAGTCAAGGGAGGAAGGGGTCTGCTCTGAGAATGTGTGCGACCACAGCAGGCTGGGAAGCGAGCCCTGCTCTCTCCAGACCTCTGTGAATCAATCATCCCTACGCTTGCCCTTCCTGTTTCTCTTGCAGGCAGCAACTTGAATGATGGCTTGTGGCATGCGGTCAGCATCAGCGCCAGAAGGAACCGCATCACTCTCACTCTGGATAATGATGCAGCATCCCCGGCTCAAGACACTACCCGGGTGCAGATATATTCTGGAAGCAGCTACTACTTTGGAGGTAAATTCTCCAACATTTGAGATTGGAAATAAGGGGAAGTGGGGAGGGAGAAATGCTGGGGACAATTATTTCACTCTGATGAATCTCACTTTGTCAATGGACCATTTTGTCAACACACACACACACACACACACATACCCACACTGAGAACAGTGAGAAGCAAAATATCTCACAGCTGTACAAATATAAATTATCTAGGGCAGCGCTGAGGAAGTGAAGAGTTTCATCTATAAGAGCTGGGGTTACATAATACAGCTAATGGAAGTTTTTGCAGCTATGCCAGGCTCTGTGATCACATTGGAAAGAGAAACTCAGCTGAAAACTTATAGAAAATGCACCAAGAGTCAGCAGTGCTTAAAAGAAGGAAACTCAGGTGGAAGCAGCCTACTTAGCCACCGAGGTCACTTCTCTGTCATTTTGCTTTCTCAGCCCCTTGCCTCCCCTCCTCACAAGCCTGGACACCATGCCCATGACTTGGGGCAGCTGGAATGGGGAGGGACCAGGAGGCCAAGGAACTTGTAGCTACATAGGAAGAAGCCTGCTCAGGTTCTGCCCTCTCCTATGTTAAGTAAATTCTGGGAATCTTTACAAGGACCAAACGTTCAAGATAATTAGGATGAAAAACATACGATGGTACTTCAAAAAGTTCATGGAAAATGGAATTAAAAGATGTTTATCTGAGTGCAAAAAAATGGAAATCTATACATATCATACTCATAATATATATTTTCTACAATTTATAAAAGATCTATTTTAATAATCATTTTGTTTTTTATTTTATTTATTTTTTAAATTTACTTGAAAAGCAGAGAGAGAGGCAGATAGGCAGAGAGCTTCCAAATGCTAGTTCACGCCCCAGAATGCCTGTCACAGCCAGGGCTGGGCCAGCTCAAAGCCAGGAGTCTGGAACTCATTCCAGGGACCCAGATTCTTGAGCCATCACCTGCTGTATCCTAAGGTGAACATTAGCAGGGATCTGGAATCACAAGTGCATCAGCGATGAAAACCCAGCCACTCTGATAGGGGATGTGAGCATCCTAATCATGGCACCAAATGCCCACCGCACCACAGACCTTTTGAAGTACTCGTGTGCGGTTAGGCATCTTTAAAAGACTTTTCATTAAAGTGAGTATCCAGTTTCTTATTCAGTTTTTTCGTATCATAGAAATAATCTATGAAAAGAACATTGGATGTCTGATCTTGAGCAAGACACTAAGAAGACTTGAATATTCTTCTCTGGGACATGGGGAAATAGGCTCACCCTCAGAAAAGCTGGGAGAGTGGAAACCAAAGTGTAAATGTAGAGATCACATTTGGGGAGTGAGCAAACGGCTCCAGCCCTTATAGACACGGGCTTGGGCTGGGTTCTGGGCTGCAACTGACCACTCTCTCTTCTAGGGAATGTAAGAGCGGTCTTGTGTAAACACTGCAGTCTCTCACATAGATTTCCCAACTCTCTTCTCTTATACATCGAAATGGGCATAGTTTTGAAACCTAAAAGGGACTTTGTACAAGTGTGGTACACAAGTCCATATGGGGTTTCATGTGGAGCAACACCAGGGTGGTTTGATTTTAGGGTGAGGAAGGGTCTTTGTCCTTCTCCTCAGATCTTCTCCACCTGTGCAAAGGCAGCAATCCTTTTAGAAAGAGATGCACCTGTACTCTGCGAAGCTTCTGTGTGTGTCTTACTTTGTTTAATCCCTGTGGCACCTTTGTGTAGTGGGTGTTATTCATATTTCGTAGAGAGCAAAACTGTTGTTTGCTGAGATGAAATAATTTGTGCAATTCCACAGAGCTAGTGAAGAACAGGAGCACTAGAATTCACATCCAGATCTGTGCCCTCCATGGCCCACTAGCAAAAGCGAAGAATCAGAGCAGATGTAGCATAAAGCTGCAGAGCAAGGGTCTTGGGACTCCTGAAGCCATACTTCACAGATTGTGTGATTTTACTTTGTAGGCAATATATGAGTGAGAGAGAAAGGACAGCAATCTTGAATTTATTTCTAGGGAAGTTTTTTTTTTTTTTTAATAATTATGGTACAATAAGCTTCTGATATCTCTAATGGCCAAAATGATTCCCCTCCCCCAGCTGAATGAGTGATCTTAGAGGTGCATTTTAAGGGACACTGGGCTTAGGAGGTGATTTACTATGCTTTGCACAGTGTTTAAACAAACACCTCACACATCGACTGTAAACTTAAGGAAGGTGAAAAATGAGTTTCAGTAATAATCGTCAACTTGCATAAATTCTCTCTACAGCTTCAATTAGAAGTTGTAGCATCTCTCTTCATTTTATAGTGTGCCTGTGAGCTGTTAACCAGCTGCCAGACTTTAGCCCAGCAGTGAGTGTCTATTAGAGATGGCTGAAATAATTCCCAATTATTTATGGGTTATTGCCATGTTTTCAAGCTTGCATTCCCATATGCTCTGAACCTATTACAACCAATGGGAAAGAGTCTGCAAGGCAGCTAAGCACTCCTATACCTGCTTTGCTCTCTCTGCCTTAATGAGAGGTAGATATGCACTGGTTGCCAGCTATGCTAAATCAGTGTAATGTATTTTTTTAAAAAGAACACTCTTTAAAAAGGAGAGTGTTAACCTTTCACGTATGCTATTATAGCGCTCTATGTGCATTTAATTCCTTAGTTCCCTTAACGTCTGGATTTGCCTTGCACATCAGTTCAAAATTCCAGTAACGTCCCTGTGTGTACCTTTCTCAGGAACCAAACCTGTTAATGCTAACAATTAACCAGACAATTACTCTGCCACCATCCTTACCCAAAGCATAATTTCCTTTGAAAGTGTAATTCAGGATTGAATTGTGCATTTAGACTTGAGTTTGGAGACAGAAACAGAATTCCTAAGTGGTTCTAATATGTTGCTTTCTGTGGATGAGTGAAGGATACCATGGAAGAGAGTGGCAAATAGCTTACCAACAGGGAAAAACAATCAGAAAGAGATAAATGTTACAGTATTGGTATTCCCTTTAACACACATTCATTTTCTATGCAATGATGGAACGTGGCCCATTCTGTACCAATCCATTCCCCTCCCCAAGAATGCCAGGATTTACAACAGAAGTGTGCACACTGCTGTGAATAAAAAAGCACTGAAATAATTAGACCTCGAGGTCTTCCATCAATAGGTCGCCAAAGCAATGACTGATCATTTCAGCATTCTTCTTCATCTTTTCTCTCTGTCCCACAGGGTGCCCCGACAATCTCACCGATTCCCAATGTTTCAATCCCATTAAGGCTTTCCAAGGCTGCATGAGGCTCATCTTTATTGATAACCAGCCCAAGGACCTCATTTCAGTTCAGCAAGGTTCCCTGGGGAATTTTAGTGATTTACACATTGATCTGTGTAGCATCAAAGACAGGTAATTATTGTCTCTTCTCCTCTGTTCTCCCACCCCCTTCCCATTCTCCCTGTTCTAAATATGAGTTTCTTTAAGCAAAATTCTAATCCACCGACATTAGCCACATTAGACATAATTGAGTCGCCTAATGGAAAATATTTCTGAAAGGATTTCAGGCCCAGAGAAAAACGGTTTAAATTAGTTGAGTCTCTCTTCATGTTGACTTGCAGTAAATGGGATATGCAAATTAAATCAAAATACAAATTTGTGAAAGGATTAAAATTTTATGCATAAACAACATTTGATTACTTTGAAGTTAAGAGTAAAATAGAGAGGAGGGAGGAATTACTCCTCTCCCCAGCCGCTTCACTCTTCACTGCCAGGGGTGTCTTTTGGTAACACAGGCTCGTAAGCATCAGGCACTGATAGTCTTGCAATAAAAGTCCCAGCCGTGCCCAGTGGCACACAGCAACCCCTGAGGAGGCTGATCTTTGCGTTGCCCCCTCCCCCTTACTGCTTCTTAGGCGTGGAAGAGACCAGACCATGGCTGGAGAATCAGCGCTTTTACTCTGCAGCCCTCAGATCTAGCGAAAGCTCGGTCTCTCTCCTTTCCTCCTGGGATTTGGTTCTCCTTCTATTGGGAGTTTCTAGATTTAAAGACACAGTGCAGAAAACCAAAGAGGATGGATTCTGAGTGTTCAGGAAGGCGCCTCTGCTCTTTCTCTGGCTTCTGCTAATTCTGCTAACATGACTCAATATATCATTTTTTAAATGGGTAAATAATATCTAAGTGCTTGCCTATGTGTTGGTGATAGGGAGTTTCCACTCACATTTTATCAGGGAACAAATTAGCCATTACAATAGAGTGAGATAAATCACAAAGAACTCTCTTATTTGCAAACTAAAAAAAATACTCAATTCATGATCATTTAACATGTGAAATCTTTAATATTGAGATGCATTTTATACTTGATAGCATGTTACAGTGTAAGTGATGCTATTTGTTATTTCTAAGGGGCACATAAAAAATGCATTGTTTCACAATTCATGATGCCTTAGAGACTTCCAAATATTTCTCATAATGGTGGGTCGATGTGAGGAGAGCACATGATAGGAATTCTACTGCAGACGTGAGCCAAGACCACTCATGAAGAACTTCAGGCAAGAATCAGGAGGAAGATGATCAGCTTTGACTAGTAGACAGCATACTTAGAAACAAGAGGTAAAGAAGCATTGGAAGAGAGTGAATGCAAAGAGAGGGAGGTGAATGTCAAAGGCCAGGGGAGTAGCAGGTGCTTTTACTGAGTGGAAGAGGAATCAACCTTGTAGATGATAATTTCTGCTAATTCTGGGAATGGCCAATATAATTAGGTGGAACTTTACACACAAGTTTCTCTATTAATACCACCACACACGGGTTTATCAACAAATCACTTAGGCTTCCTGGTTCTGCTGCTTCACTTTGTTTTCTATTGGCCCAGCTGGAAAAGTGGGAATAAAATATGTTCCTCCTTAAAATGTTCTAGTTTAAAGATCTCGTAATTGAAGATCTTACAGGGAATGGTTACCACCCCTGCAGTCTTTATTCATAGCTGATCCTACTCCATCAGCCTACATAGCTTTCTGCAAAATGTGGATCAATACAGAGAACATTTATCAATAGGGGTTTCTATGATACTTTAATTTCTAATCAAAGACACTTCCATTATTTTTCATTACGTGAAAGTCATTGCCATCTACACTGCATCATTACTTTTGTGTAATTGTAGTCTTGCATAATTGTATTACATACAATTGTGGTTTGGGCTAATTGTGTCATAAGGGATCGTGTTTAGTTTAGAGGGTAAATGGTACGTTTGTCTTGATTTACCAGGCACCATTTCCAATAGAAGGGAAACATGTGGCAAGAGGCTTTGCTTGATTCATTTTATCATGAATGTGTATTTGACATTTGCTGGAGAGGGGCAGGGGTTATAAAGGCAGGTGGTTTCTGAGATTGGTGTTTTATTTTTAATGTGTTAATCAATGCAAACTTGATTTCAGGGCAAGTGCAAAGTCTTTGCCTCTAAGGAGACTGCTTCTCAGTAGAGATGCAGGGGAGAGTAGGCAGGCTCTGTGTTCTTTGCTTGGGGCCCTGGCAGGCTGAGTGTCTCTTCACAGTTCCTTTTCTGGCCCCTTCCTCACTAGCCACAGAGATGTAGGGCCCCTCCTTGCCATCAGTACCCCTGCCTCCTCTCTCTCAAAGTAAGATGAGGTCCAGCCCTCCCCACGTTCTATTCTTCTGGCCCCAAATATGTGGCGTACACTTTTTGAAGCTCTTTACCATTGGCCACTATGAGGAGATATGATATAGGAAATCCAAGGCAGTCATCGCGTGAGAGGTGCAAATGTCCCAAAGTTTCCTCCTCTCAGGGCCCTTTAAGTTTCCCTTTGGAGCACATAAACAAGTCTAGTACCTGCTAACACTAACCGATAGAATAAATAAAGGGGAGAGTGATCCAACATGGGAGTGAGATACTCAGCAGACTCATAGAATGGCAGATGTCCTAAATAGCACTCTGGCCTCAGAATCAGCCCTTAAGGCATTCGGATCTGGCTGAAAAGCCCATGAGAGTATTTCAGGCATGGAAAGCCAAGACACTCTGGCAAAAGATCTCTGTGAGTGAGATCCCAGTGGAAAGAACAGGTCATCAAAGAAGGAGGTACCTTTCTCTGAAGGGAGGAGGGAACCTCCACTTTGACTATGGCTTGTCTAAACAAGATAAGAGTCGGAGAACTCAGAGGGCTTCCATAGCCTTGGAAACTCATGACTGGAGCATAGGGAGATTACTGATGCCATAGACAGGAGTGTCAATTGGTAAAGTCAACAACAGGAGTCACTGTGCACTTACTCCTCATGTAGGATCTCTGTCCTTAATGTGCTGTGCATTGAGATTTAATGCTATAACGAGTACTCAAACAATATATTTCACTTTGTGTTTCTATGGGGGTGCAAACTGTTGAAATATTTACTTAATGTATACTAAACTGATCTTCTGTAAAAAAAAAAAAAAAGAAATTATCAATTCCCAACTTGACTCTCACTGAGATTAAACATGACAATAGGTCTGATCTGATTTCATCATCATTTAAAAAAAATCATCTATTATTCTTCACTTTATGTTTCTGTGTGGGAGCAAACTGTTGAAATCCTTACTTAATGTATACTAAGCTGATCTTCTGTATATTAAGATAATCAAAAATGAATCTTGATGTGAATGGAAGGGGAGAGGGAGTGGGAAAGGGGAGGGTTGTGGGTGGGAGGGACGGTATGGGGGGGAAGCCATTGTAATCCATAAGTCATACTTTGGAAATTTATATTCATTAAATAAAAGTTAAAAAAAAAAGTTTCCCTTTGACATGGGGTCTAGTGTAGCTGCTACCCTGTTGGTGGTTTTTGCAAACCACCATTGAAAGGTCATCCTGAGTAAAAAGTTGTAGGGTCCATTCTTGGGGATTGAGGAACTTTAATCCATTTGCATCCCAATGATGGGCAAATGGCAACATGCTCTGGACTAAAAATAGAGGTAGCACAGTTCACCAGGTGCATAGCAGGAAATATGTTGTTTTCTGGAAAATTCAGTACAGGCCAGGCCAAAGATAGGAGAGATCCACACACTATCTATTGTCTTTCTGGGCCTTAAGGGTACAATGTGAAGCCACTATACCTCTTCCGCAGGCCTGACCACAAACCTCATATTCTCTATACCCTTGGTGCCTGTGGGGAGCAGCCCGGACTGGACTGAGTTACTGGAATTAAGACTTATTCTATGCATCTGCTCTCCCACAATATGGCGCTGGGAGAGAAGTAAACAGCTTCCGCACAGCTGCCTCCAGTTCAACCAATAAACTGTAGGACTTGCTCCTGATTGGAGAGCAGCGTACTCGGCGTGTGGGCAGCCGAGTTGGGATTGGCGGAGGAGGACTATAAAGGAGGAGAGAGACGGCATGCACCGGGAACATCTAAGGGGAACATCTAAGGGGAACACCTGTGCAGCCCCCGAGAAAGCCGGCCGGCGGTGTGCCGCTCCCCTGCGGAAGTGGGGAATGTGGCCAGGGGGAACTGCCCTTCCACGGAGGTGGAAGGGATAGTAGCCAACCCGGGAAGAACCAGCAGCAAACCCAGGGAGGGCCGAGCAGACGAAAGAACAGCGCAGGGCTTAGTGTCGTTCCTCCACGAAGACGGGGAGCGACAGGTGCCTCATTTATTTCATAAGCTACTTCTGACCCTCCCCTATGATTTATAGTAGGTGAGACAAGATACCTTAGGTATCACAGAGAAATTCTGCTTTAAATATTTGCTTCATTCAGGGAACAACTGTCAATCACACTTTCTGCAGTTAAGTCCTGTATACAGGCAAGGAGTGTATGTATGTCACAAAGTATAACAGGGTACTATAGGAGCTGTTAGGGACCTAAGAGTTCAGATGCACTGAGAGTCCGAGATGTATGTCAGCTTTTCCATGGACACACAGTACTGAAGTTGCAATTAAGAGATAAACTTGACATTGTTCTCTTCCCTGTACTATCAAACAAGTACTGATCTGGAAGTGGCAGTTGTTGTGTGTCTGTGGCTCTTTAAATACATAACTCAATCTTCAACCCAACCAGGTAGACTTTTTAGGCATAGGCAGTCTACCATAGTCTTTGTAAACTTTGCATACTCAATGTATTTCCACATAAAAGGGGGCATTCAAAGTGGTGTTCAATGTCAGGCAGAGCGTGAGTGGAACAAAGTGAGTCAGGTGCAGAGACTGCTCTTCCTAGCATGCTGTGGAAGGATCCACATCAACTCCAGGGGTCATGTCTGGTCCTGTGGGGTCCAAAGTACAGAGAAAGAGAAACATATCGTACAATAATTTTCATGAATTTGAATCCATGATGAGATGCAAAGCCAGAACAGGGGGTCCACTCAGATGCTGAAAAGTAGAGCTAGTGCAGGTCATCTCTAGGGGCATCCCTGAATCCCAGAGCAGGTGGCA